CCAATGCTTTGGTAATAGCAACGATATCGCCTTTGCAAAGCTGGCAAATTCCAGCATTAAGAAGATGCCCTTTCACTCCATACTTGAGCAAGTTACTCTTCAGAGAATACTTTGCTATCTCTTCGTAGATATCGATTGCTTTCTGATACCTACAAATTATGTTACCATATCAAAGATGTTTTCATAAGATAAATGTTTGTACAATATCAAAATAAATGGATAGTATGAAACCATCAAAGTAGAAGAAAGCTTGGTAATGTTTTAAATGTGTCAATCATAAGGATGCAGCACAATTTATCAATACTACACTATCTTACTGTTCCAACTGTGCAGCAAATTGTGCAACTTTCTGCTTGCATTGATTTGCTGAAGTTGTCACTTCTTCATTTTGGAAAAGGTCAGCAGCTTTTTCAAAGTAATCGATTGCTTGCTCGATATCCTGTTCGGACTCGAACAATTCAGCAATTTCCTGCACACACGAGAAGGTAAATCCAAGTCATGGATTGCATATGAGGCATTTGTTTAACTCTCTGTCAATCAAATGATGAAAGAATTCTGCATAAGAAATTTCCATGACAAGGCAACTGCTGTCTAGAGAGACCTGATGTGTAATAGCTCAAGCCCACTGCTAGCAGATATTATCCGCTTTTGCACATTATGTATCGCCGTCAACCTCACGGTTTTAAAACGCGTTTACTAGGGAGAGGTTTCCATACCCTTATAAAGAATGTTTTGTTCTCCTCCCCAACCGATGTGGGATCTCACAATCCACCCTCCTACGGGACTCAGTGTTCTTGCTGGTACACCGCCAGATATCTAGCTCTATACCATTTGTAACGTCCCAAGCCCACCCCTAGTAGACGCATTTTAAAAGCCTTGGGAAGAAGCTCAAACCAAAAAGCCCAACGAGGACAACCTCTGCTAGCAGTGAACTTGGGATGTTACATAATGTATGATACTTCATAGTGTCTAATCAAGAATTAGCAGCAACAAGAATAGGTTCCAAAAGAAAAGAAAAAAACAATTCACAGCATAACCTCGTGAAGTAACCGAACATTTTAGACGATCAAAGAAATCAAATAATAAGCATTTCACGTAGCAGAATAACAATGAACCTTGTAATATCTTGCAGCCATATTGAGTCTTCCAATGTCACAAAACAAATTCACTGCCTGCTCTATGCAAGATATGGCCTCTGCATCAAGATAACAATTGGAAATAAGTAATTTAACCAACAATAACGTCGTAATTGAACTAGAATTGTTTCACTCGTACAGTTCGCGTTAAAGTATAGAATGATCAATTATGAACCAGTATTACCTCTAACAGATGTTTTCTTATAGCAATTGCCCGCATCAATATAAGCTTGAGCTGCTTCATGTTTGCTTTCCATCTTTATAAGAAAAACAATGCATTGTTCAGTAAAAGAAACAGTGTACAACAAAGGAAGACGAAGCCATCGATCTCACAAACACGAAGCACCAACCTTCAGATGACAATTTGCTAACTTTATATATGTTGATCCTGCTTTATCCCCTGGAAAACCACATCCACAGAGATTAGAAAGGAAATGGATGGCAGGAAACTGAAATAGACAATAATGTAAAATTCAGACACGCAAAGCATGGAAAATGTTATAAAGATTGGCCAATTAAGACAACGGCCACAACTCATCGGGGCAGAACGAAGAGGGGGGCAATCCCTCTATTAGTTTTGTAACAATCCAAGCCCACCGCTAATAGATATTGTCCGCTTTGGCCTGTTACATCGTGTCGTCAGCCTCACGGTTCTAAAATGCCTTTGTTAGGGAGAGGTTTCCACACCCTTATAAGGAATGCTTCATTCCCTCTCGAACCAACGTGAGATCTCACAAGTTTTCTTTTCCTCTTCTATTTTACCTCCTAACTTCTTAGAACTCCAAAGATTATACATAAGAATGTAAAACTTTTCTCCTCATCATGAAAATTTTTGGCTCCGCCCCTACCAAGCATGCAACAATGCCGATCAATCAAAAGATGAAACCATGGTGCTCTTGATTTCTAAGCAAAAACTCTCGCATAACCCAAAAAAACCGCCAGAAAACGGGAAAAACGATATCATAAAAGAAGCAAAAAGAAACAGAACACAAGTAGCCCGCCACAATTAAATTACGCAACAAAATGATAAAAACAATGAAACAACAAAAATCCTTCCGTAAGACCGTCCTTCTCATACGCAGCAGCGTTTAGGGATAATGAAATTAACAAAACAGGGAAAGTAATGATCGAACAGAGAGAAATAAAAAGAAGAATCATAAGGTGAAAAGCGATTAGCAATACATGATTTCGAAAGCTTGTAAGAATTGGCGGCTTTATCGAAGAGATCTGCAGCATCATCGTACTTGGAGCCGAACAATCCCCAACCACTGAGCTTCTTTTCTGCTTTGGAATCGAAATCCTCTGCTCTGGCCAAATGATCCGCCATGGACGAATATGAATCGAGAAACGGGAGAAGAAAAAAAAAAAAAACAAAATCAGGATTGCGATTAAGAAATGGTTTCTGGTTCTTCTAGCATTGGCGGGTTCTCTCTTAGAAATATCAAAGTTTTCTGAAACTGATTTTGTTGGATCAATCGGTAAGGATTGCTCGTCCTCGTGTTTTCGCGGTGCCTGTTGCTGATTCTGGCGGAGGAAACTTTTTTGTCCCTTTGGGCCGAATGTGTGGAATCTTGAAAACTGCCCAACTCAATTTTAGGAACAAACGAATGGGTTGGCTACCTTTACACATTACACCATCTAATGGTCATTAATGCTCATAAATTATGAGGTCCAACTATTTGAACATAGATCAGTACATAAAAGATATCAACGGTGGACGTGGTAGATAAAAGATTATTATGATAGACGTGGATTTTGACTTTTTATCAACAAGATTGTAAACTAAAAAAAATATGAACTTAAATACGTTTTAACAAATAATTTTGATAAAAGTTAAATTACAACTTTAGCCCTAGAACATTTAAACCGTCGTACGATTTTTTTATTTTTTTAATATAAATGTAGGATACTTGTAAGATTGTAGCCTAGGAGCACGAGCATGCAACTAATCTAGAATAGGCTCTAAGTTGGCATACTTAACTCATACTTCATACAGTTTAGTATTTAGCTTCACGAACAAGTTCTACCTCGATTTTTCTAAATGAATGGAATATTTAGGTGAAGTTGAATTTAGAAACGTTCAACTAAGACAAAGCTTAGAATCACTGAATTGACACAAAAACGCTGCCTACAAACTAGTTGGATGAAATTGTTATGTTACATGAATGACACATTTATTTGTGATTCTTCACTTCATGTTTTTATATTGATATGATCGTGCATGTTTGACCATGAATGACATACATTAAACATGTATTACTTCTTCTCATATATTTATAGGGACACATACCTATGAGAATGATTAGGTCTTTTTTTTTTTGTCGCTCGGATACACCAGAATGGTAGGATATATTAGTACTTAAAAAAATCCGATATATATATATATTCCCAACGAGTCCATTTTTCTTTTGATTTGGAAGACAGGCGTTGCGTTCGAAAGGCCCGAGGTAAAGGACTATGCTACGTGGCTCTCCCAATTGACTTGGACTCGAGCTTATTTAGGATTCCCTCGAGCTTATTTAGGATTCCCTAACCCTTTATTTAGATTCTTATGTGGGATTTTCAAAAAGAGAATCCGGCTTACTCTATTACCTTATGAGATCTATCTGTTTAGGGGGGAGAAGGAGGAGAAGCACGGAAACAGGATGTCTAGGGGATCTCCCTAGTCCCAGAGGGGATTAGAGTGGTAGGAATCCCCTCTCTAACGTTCTAACCTCTAAGCCAGTAATGAGTCAGCCAATAGGATAGAAAATCTCATCAGTAAGGTAATAAAGTAAGCAAAGTTATCTTTTTGAAAGTTCCACGGAAGAATCCAAATAAAGGGTCAGGGAATCCTAAATAAGCTCGAGTCCAAGTCAATTGGGAGAGCCACGTAGCATAGTCCTTTACCTCAGGCCTTTCGAATGCAATGCCCGTCTTCCAAATCAAAAGAAAAAATAGGATCGTTAGAAATATATATATATATTTATAGAAAGAAAAACACATGAATAAATAAAAATCTCACTCTTCCATTAATTAGTAGACTACGACATATTTTAAAAATTTTGAATAAGACACGTTAATCTTTTTATGTTTTTTAAAAATAATTTACTTTTTAAAGTGTTTTTTTGATTTAAATAAATATGTATATATATATAAGATATAATAGAATTAAAACAAAAGCATTTTTTTTTTTGAAGTATGAAATAAAAATACTTTTATTATAATTATTTTTCTAAAAATGGCTTAATAAACAACAAAATAATAAATGACTTCTTCCAAACAAAAAGGCTATCATTTAATTACCATTAATATATTGGATGAAAATATCTAAATCTTTGATATCAAAATAATTAATTGTAGACTTATGCTATTTTAATTTATTATTGATACTTTCGATGAATCTAAAATTCGTTAATTTTTTTTTGAATAAATTTTAAAAATATATCTATAAAAATTATTATTATTATTTAATTAATTTTTTAACACTTAATATTAAAAAAAATAATTAGTAAAAAATAAAAAAAAACATCTCAATCACAATTATTGATGAATGAATAGAGGCATCTACCCATCATAACGACTACATACATTCTTTTGCATATTTTCCTTGAAATTCTTATAAATAAATATGTTTATAAGTAGACAAATTAAAACTAACCAATAAAAATATTTGTTATTTTTTTGTATTATTTAAAATTTTTAATTTTATTAAATTGGAAGATAAATTTTATTTGAAAGAAAATTTTATAGATAAATGGATGCACAATTTATGCACCAATCATTGCTTGCCATTTGTTAATATGCTGACTCAGAAATATTCTCAACTTGAATTTCCTATCTTACCCTTCCCCTATTGGAATATTTTATTCTTTTTTCTGGGTTCATCATTTTAGTCTTGTCCTCACCATCGAAATGTCGCCAGCGCCGGAGCAGGTACCTCTCCTGCCGGAGAAGAGTCAGGCCACGAAAACTGCTTCGGTATTCGGTGCCGTGTTTAATGTGTCGACGAGTATAATCGGCGCCGGAATCATGTCGATTCCGTTCACTCTTAAGGTCCTCGGCATAATCCCAGCCGTTGTCCTGATCGTGCTTGTGGCTTTCATGACCGACTTATCGGTGGAGCTTTTGCTGAGATTCACTCACTCCGGCCAGTCGATGACTTACGCCGGCGTGATGAAAGAGTCATTCGGCCCGATTGGTTCAGTTGCTACGCAGGTTTGTGTGATGATTACTAATCTTGGAGGCTTGATCATGTACCTGATTATAATAGGTAAATTCTTTTTCAGACTAATTCAAAATTGATTTAAGTTAGGGTTGGAGGTAGTTTATTGATTTTGGGGGAAATGTATCGAGAGATCGGAAATTGTTATTGATTCTCTGTAATATGAACGAATTTCAGAGACTGTTCTTGAACTTAAATTAGTTTGCAGTAATTACAGAGTACGATTCGAAAATTGATCTCTGATTTTTCTGTGCGCGTTTGTTCGATTTGTGAAATTTTGAGGGGACGTGTTCTCGGGGAATAAAGGAGGAGAGGAAGTGCATTTAGGAGTACTGCAACAATGGTTTGGAATTCAATGGTGGAATTCGCGAGAGTTTTCAATTCTCTTCACAGTCGTCTTCCTTCTGCTTCCTCTGGTTCTTTTTCAACGCGTTGGTTAGTAATCGGAAACTGATTTTCTTCGTTTGTTGCTCTAATGGCGTCGGATTTGAACGCTGCAATGTGTTTTTCCAGATTCTTTGAGATTCAGTTCGTTTGTATCAGTTGTTCTGGCCGTCGTTTTCGTTGCGATAAGCTCTGTCTTGGCGATAATGGCGATCGTTCAAGGCACAACGAAGAGCACCAGATTGGTACCGGAGCTGGACGATCAAACCTCCTTCTTCGAACTGTTCACCGCCGTACCCGTTCTTGTCACAGCCTTCACGTTTCATTTTAATGGTACGTGAAGACAAAAGCATAACCCGTACGATTATTTTCCACAAATTTTGTGGTTTGTTAGAAAAAAATAAATTGATTTTTTAAATTATTTTTTTGAAGGCATGAATTTAGTCCATCTACTCTTTAAATTTCAATTTTATCTTTATATTTTCACATTTTGTTTAACTACTTTTAACAATTTTATTTTAATTTAAGTTAGCTCATTTTTTTCTTTCTAATTTTTATGTTAAAATTTTGTAAATAGGAATCAAAATGATTCTTTAAAAAATATTGAAAAATAAATAGATATTTATTTAATTGGGTAATCAAATAAATTTAATAAAATTGTTTTTCCCTTTTTAGAAAGAGCACTCAACCTTTGAATTAAAAACTAATAAGTGGTGCAACTTTTATTATTATTTTTATTTAATTATTTTGTTTAGGCATGTTTACTCAAGAAAAAAATATTTAAAAAGTTATTTAATGAATTATAATACACGTCTCTTTAACAATGATATGATATTATCCATTTTAAGCATAAATTATCTTTAACTTTTGCTTTGGTTTATTTAAAAAGTTTCATACCAATGAAGACGGTGTTCATTTCTTATAAATTCATGATATTCCTTTTAATTAACGACTGCTTCTCTAATAATCTAAGAATATTGAGATTAAATAAATAATATTTAAACCATAATAATTGTTGTACTACGTGGCAGTTCATCCAATACGTTTCGAGCTTCGAAACTCAAAAGACATGATGCTAGCAGTTCGAGTGGCCCTTCTTTTATGTGCTATCATCTACGTCGCCATAGGCATTTTTGGGTACTTGCTGTTTGGGGACTCATTAATGTCGGATATTTTAACCAATTTTGATCGAACTTCAGGTTCATCGATAGGGGCTTTGTTGAATGATACTGTGAGATTAAGCTATGCATTTCATCTAATGTTGGTTTACCCTTTGCTCAACTTCTCTTTGAGGTTCAACATAAATGAATTGCTGTTTCCAAACAAGCCTCCTTTGGCCTCAGATACCACAAGGTTCTTGGCCATAACAATGGCACTGCTGGCCTTCACCTACTTGGCTGCAATTGCTTTCCCAAATATATGGTCTATTTTTCAGTTCATGGGCTCTACTTCAACTGCATGCCTCGCCTTCATCTTCCCCGGTGCGATCGCCCTCAGGTACTTCTCTTTCCCAGCTATTAATTTCGATAAAAGTTAGAGAAATTATACACAATGATCTTAGAGTATGCAAATGAGTTCAGTTTTGCCGAAACAAGTTGAAAGTTTCGCCTTTATTAACTTGAATGATAGTTAGATACAGAGACCTGTGGTTATAGAGTTAGATATGCGCACATCACACATCAATATATCAAACCTTGTTACTAATTAATTTGACCAATAATATATGACATAGAGATCTCTATAATTATAGAGCTAAAGGGATAACAACGGCCGGACACCAAATTTAGAAGATATAAAACTTAAGCTTATTTTATCTCAGACGTCTACTATAAAATAATTTAGAATAAAAGTAAAGTAGGTCATGATAAGAGACCACACATATAAGTTAAAAATATTAATTTTGTCCACTCAAAGCTAGGAGACAAAGCGTGTAGATCTATATGACATATTAATAGGATAAAAATTATGATTTGAGCTCGTAGGTAAAAGTTTCGAGAACACGTTAGAATCCAATTTTTTTAGTTGAGTAACGAGGGTTCAATACAAATTTTCTAGATTAAGAGTAAGAGCTTATGTATTTTATTGCTCGAATTAAAAAGTTATGTTTACATAATTATTTATTTGGACATGCTAAGAGAATATATTTAGAATATTATATTTTACGTAGTTGTTTATTTACACGTGTAGGGATGTGAATGGAATATCAACAAAGAAGGATAAGGTGGTTGCTGCAGTAATGGTAACTTTAGCAGCAGTGTCGAGTATTATTGCTATTGCTATAAATATAAACACGACATTCGAAAATAAGTAATATTAATATTTAAAAACATAAATAATATTAATCTTATAATATGTCGAAATAATATTAGTTTTATAATACGTGTATAAGTATTTTCTCTCTTCTGGATTCAATTTTGTATGTGTGAAAAATGTATTATTAAATTGTTTGTGTTGAAGTAGAATATGATGGTATTTTTGTTTTATTATTATTTTTATTTCAGAAACAAACAGAAAAGAAAAAAGACTATTATTTTAAATTAAAAAAAAACAAATAAGAGAGGAAGTAGAACAAGTAACCAAAACGTGTCCATTATGAATATTTAGACTTTTTAATTAGTTTAATTTAAAGATTTTTTTAATTATTTTCATCTATCTTTAATCCATTAAACCCGAGAATTGGGTTAAGTTACTGAGTTATGGCAGCGAGGGACGAGCGTGAGTGTGCAATGTGATGTAAGGCATGACCGCAGTGCTTGTGACACGCAAATGAGATGATTGTGGCGTAAGGACAGAGTTGCGAGGAGTGTGACACTGACAAAATATCGTATTGACAATGGAGCGAGAATTAGACAAAAACTCTAAATACGCTATAATGTATATATATATATATATAATTGACGGACTCAGCTTGAGTTGTTCGAGTCTTTGTCGAATAAACGTGAAACTCGACTAATGTTTAGAAAATGACAATATTAACCTTGAGTCTTTTGGGAAACGTTTTAAAAGCAGTAAATAAAATAGGGAGAAAATTAGAATGATTTAGATGGTGAAGTACAAAGGTTGAACCGACAGTTAGGTCCACCATGGCCCAAGCTGGCACGGAACCATCACGTCTCTCCCATATCCGTTCACACAACCACCGCCCAACAAATCCCTCCAAAACCGAGGGAAAAGGATAAGATCTTGCTCCAATAAATACACTCCATGCTGATGTGGACACCATTTTTTTTTAATCATAAAAAATATACTGCCCCAGTTATTATGTAATTTCTCAAAAATTTATAAATAAAGAAATTCAGAATTAAAGATTGATCGGTCCAAGCTAATCAATAAGTTATAGGTCAATTTAATTCAATAAAAATGTTCGATATCGATCCAACCCGATCAACAAGCTCAAGACTGATCATTCGAGATGATCAACAAGTCCAATTATCTAAGAACATGACAGATTCAAAAAGTCGGTATGCTAAAAAAATCAACAAGTTCAAAGATTGATCATCCAAGAAAACTAGCCAGTTCAAATCTTCTAAGGAATAAAAATTTATACGGTCAATAAATATAAATATTAAAAATTTATACATTCAATTTCATAAATATTTCTAATAATGTTATTTTATGATTTTTTTTTAATAGAAGTGCAAAAATAATGCAACACATATTGCAAATATAAAATTCAATTTGTGGAACGAGCAAGCAATCAATCAAGAAGATAATAGAGAAGGTTTTTTTTTAATTAATTAATTAATGAATAAAAAAAATAAGAGACGTAATAATTAATGGGACAATACTTTTAGATGCTCATAATAACAGACTCATTACTCTTAGAATTAAAAATGAAGTTATCGAACAAGACGTGTCATTGAAGAAAATTGAACATCATTACTGAAATGGTCCCAAAATTAACGAATCTATCTTGCCTCATAAAGAATTAGGCTTATGTTATCTCTTATTGCTTCAATAAATGAGTCAAATTTCAATAATATTCATTAGCATTAAGAAAAGGAAAAAAAATCTGGTATAGAAAAGTTGGCTAGAGGATGATCGGTGGAATACCCACGTACCCAAAATTCAGTCTAGGATTTAAAATCCAGATTCGATACCTAATGACATCGACATTCTCCTGTATTTCTGGCAACAAAACTAGGTTATATTATGGAGCTGCTGAAAAGAAAAGTTTACTTTATTCATCGAGTTGTTATATACCATTGAAGGATTGGTTAACCCGAACGGCGTTATTTTGAATTCGTAATGTCCGTAGATAATGTGTGTTTTTGGGAGGTTACCTTCCTTTATCTTCAACTGATGGTAGTACGACCGTAAGTCGGGGTTGAAAGGTTAATTATAAAGATATATTTATAAAATAAACGGGAAAAGTGAGTGTTTTTGTAGTACTGGAAATTATCTATGTTTAATAAGTTGTTCAATAATTTAGAGGTATTTTCGTAATTTCGTATCTCCATTTTGGTCCAATACATATATGACACATTAGACACACCGCCATACGCCGCGTAAGACGAGATTTGACATCTTTTTTTTTTTTTCTTCTCTTCATCTTCTTCGGTTTATCATCGACTCGCCGCCGGGATGTCGCCGGTGCCGGAAAACATACCTCTCCTGTCAACGGTGAATCCGTCCACAAGGACTGCTTCGGTCTCTGGCGCCGTGTTTAATGTCGCGACCAGCATAATTGGCGCTGGAATCATGTCGATTCCCTTTGCTCTAAAGGTGCTCGGCATAATCCCCGCCCTCGTCCTGATCGTGTTCGTCGCTTTTTTGACTGACATATCGGTGGAGCTTTTGCTCAGATTCACACATTCCGGCGACTCGACGACCTATGCTAGCTTGATGAAGGAATCGTTCGGCACAATTGGTTCGGTTGCTACGCAAGTCTGTATCATGATTACCAATCTTGGCTGCTTGATTATGTACCAGATAATAATAGGTAAGTCTATTTTGGACTTCAGAGATCTCAATCGCGTGTTGATTTTACTCGTTTTGTAGTTTAATAGGCTGGAATTAGGGCTGAATCTGATTGGCGTGGTGGTCATGGACTTTCGGGAAATGATTCGTGAAATCGAATATTATTTTCGATTCTCTTCTTTTTTTTCTTCGAAATCGAGATTACTTCCGATTTATTCTCGTAATTGATCTTGTAAAATTGATCTGTGTTTATGTGGTCTGTGGAGTATTCAGGGGATGTATTCTCCGGCAACAAGGAAGGGGGACAAGTACATTTGGGAGTTTTGCAAGAATGGTTTGGGAATCACTGGTGGAACGCCAGAGAGTTCTCTATCCTGTTCACTGCCGTCTTCATTCTACTTCCTCTGGTTCTTCTCCGACGAGTCGGTTAGTAACTAGAAACTATGGAATCAATTAAACTGATGAACTTCCAATTTTCTTTGTTCTTGCTATAATGGCGGTGGTTTTGGATTTCTGCAATGTGTTTCAGATTCTCTGAGATTCAGTTCGTTCGTGTCATTTGTTCTGGCCGTGGTTTTTGTTGGGATAAGCTCTGTAATGGCGATCATAGCGATCGTTCAAGGAAAAACGAAGAGCACCAGATTGGTACCGGAGCTGGACAGCGAAACCTCCTTCCTCAACCTCTTCACAGCTGTACCAGTCCTTGTCACAGCCTTCACTTTCCATTTCAATGGTAAACAGAACTACAAACCCTTATGCTTTGGACGGTTTGGTCCGATCGGCTCTCTTTCGAACCCAACCGCATAAAATTATTGTGTGAGCTACTAAGGTGTTAGAATTAGAATATTAGATCACATTTTTGTAGAGACATTGAATCCACCATTTAATTAGATTATAAAAAATATCATTAATGTGAATATAATATGAATAATTTTTTAATAATATTGATATTTTAATCTACTTGTTGAATTAGAAGTCAAGCATGTGAGGCTTATGGAATATAGTTTATGTGCATGTGGGGCAGGGGGGTGGGTGGCCATTTGATTATTGGTCTAATACTTTTGGTTGGTTTGGTTTACTATTCAGTTTTAATACTACTCCAAATGGACCAATTTTGATTGGAGTTTACAGTTTAGTAAATCGAAATTGACCAATTTCGGGTCGAACCGACCCGTCGATTCTCATTTTGGTTAATTTGCTAGTTTTGCCTGTTTTAATTTGCCACCCTATGTGAAGAAAGAGTTCGTTAGTTGCAGTTTTATGGACAAAATAGAATGATTTTATGTGACATGTTCCCAAATCCTTTATCATATTGAGCCCCACCACCCTTTTTTTCTGTTATTAGATTTGATATCTTTCTAGACACTAATGTTAAATACATTTTTTTATAATTTTTTTTTTTTTGAGCTCATTCACATTGATAAGCGGATTCTTTTTTTCTTTCAACAATCATACAGTTCATCCTATAAGTTCTGAGCTTCGAAAGCCATCGAACATGATCACTGCAGTTCGGATCGCACTCCTTCTCTGCGCCGTGATCTATTTCCTGATCGGGATTTTTGGGTATCTCCTGTTTGGGGACTCGTTAATGTCGGATATTCTGATGAACTTTGATGAGAGTGTTGATGCAACAGGGGCTTTGTTGAATGATGTGGTTCGATTAAGCTATGCAATTCATCTGATGCTGGTTTTCCCTGTGCAAAACTTCCCACTGAGGTCCAACATCAATGAATTTCTGTTCCCAAATAAGGAGGCTTCTTTGGTGACAAATGAAAGAAGGTTTATGGGCATTACAATGGCTTTGTTGGTTTTCTCCTACCTGGCTGCAATAACATTCCCAAATATATGGTACATTTTTCAATTCATGGGCTCAACTTCAGCTGCTTGTCTCGCCTTCATCTTTCCTGGCGCTATTGCACTCAGGTACTTAAAGTATTAGATGATTTGGATCTTTAGAAACTATCCATGCAATACTTTATTATGTTTTCATGTTCTTTTCATAAATATGGAGTAGGATTATAATTTGTTTTTAACAAAATTTGTTTGGGCTTGCAGGGATGTGAATGGAATAGCAACAAAGAAGGATAAGGTGGTTGCTTCCATAATGGTAACTCTGGCGGTAGTCACTAGCATTATTGCCATTTCTATAAACATAAACAATGCATTGAAAAACTAAAGTAGATTGTTTGGAATGGAAGCTCAAATTATTTATTTTTGGAGATGGTGATCAGTTGTATAGTTTTTTAGTATTTTTTTCCCCTTTTCTTCGTTCGTATAATAAATCGAACATATTTGTGTTTTTGTTTTTATAATATAATCTAACATAATTAGCGTGGATTCATTCCAGAATTTAATGTTTGAATCATGATTAGAGATGTCTATTTACTCGTGGGGTTAGGGTTTTAAGGACACCTTCTCCAAACATAGTGGAGAATTTCCATTTAAACGAGAAATGGTAGGAAGCGAAAAGAGATTTTTCGATAGCTGAATGGGGTCAAAGATAAGATTATATTCTCTGTCCCTATCTGACTCTATCCTACTCACTTTATATATATATTGTACA